ATTTAAAGAAATACTATTACTAAATCAGGTTTCAATCTTCACGGTGGCATTAACACGAGTCAAAGTGCTCGGTCATTAGGGGTNTGCGCATATCGTTTGTAAAATATGAATGGTGACGATGTAATTCGACCATAGAATGTATCAAATTTAAAGAAATACTATTACTAAATCAGGTTTCAATCTTCACGGTGGCATTAACACGAGTCAAAGTGCTCGGTCATTAGGGGTACGACCCCGAGGGGTGTAAGACTCCTCCCTTGGAGCAACGCTCTTAAAATACCAACACGAGTCAAACGCTCAGTCGTTAGGGGTATGGCCCCGAAGAGTGTAAGACTCCACCCTTGGAGCAACGCTCTCAAAATACCAATACGAGCCAAGCGGTCGGTCGTTAAGGGTACGACCCCAAAGGGTGTAAGACTCCACCCTTGGAGTAAAGCTCTCAAAATACCAACGAGCCAAGCGCTCGATCGTTAGGGGTACGTCCCCGAGGGGTGTAAAACTCCACCCTTGGAGCAACGTTCTCAAAATACCAACACGAATCAAGCGCTCGGTCGTTAGGGGTACATCCCCGAGAGGTGTAAGACTAGAAAATACGATTGATGCAAGAAAACAGACATTTAGAAAATTAAAGTTCATTATGGAAAAGGGGCTTTGCATCCCCAGGCATACAAACAGTGGCAAAATTCAGAAAGAGCTATAAGGAGCTGCAAAAATATGGGACATAGAAGTGAGGCTACCAGCTGCTGAGGCCCTTAGCTTATTCTTCTCCGGCTCTTTCCCCGCCGTGGCTTCCACGCCGCCTCTATAACTCGTCTCCAGCCCCTAATATCTCATCTAGCTCAATATCATGCGTTCCAGTAATGATGGGGGCCGGAGAGGACAAATTGTCTATTGGCTGGGCAGGTGGCAAAGACGAAAGAGCAGGAGAAGACTGGTTAGATCTGTCGCTGAGTGTGATGGGTTCGCTTTCACCCTCAGCCCCGACCGTCCCTTCTGCCTCCACTTGATCGCCGAGGCTAGATCGAATCCGTTCATCCAAGGTTTTGTCATCGGCCTCGCTTCGAAAACTGTGCATGGTGAACAAGTCCGAGCCTACCTCGACGTGGCAGGCGTGAAGGGCGACGTCCCAACCTTCTTTGAAAGCCTTCTTCTTGACTTCCTCGAAAGCGGGGANCCCGTTCATCCAAGGTTTTGTCATCGGCCTCGCTTCGAAAACTGTGCATGGTGAACAAGTCCGAGCCAACCTCGACGTGGCAGGCGTGAAGGGCGACGTCCCAACCTTCTTTGAAAGCCTTCTTCTTGACTTCCTCGAAAGCGGGGACCATTTGGTCTTGAGTGGCTGATCACATCTTCTGACACTCCGATTGTAACCTTTCCTACTCCCCCGCTTCTTCTGCTGTCAAGGAGTCCACTTTGGCAGTGAGAGCACTGATTATAGACTCGAACTCTTGTAGCTTGGCTTCGGAGGAGGACACTTACAACTCGTACTCCTCGGCCTTCTTTATCGTTGTGGCTTCATCCGCCTTGGCTTTTTCCAGCTCGGCGTGAATGGCATCCCGTTGGCGGATGAGCTCGACGATATGTTTGGTTTGGTCGCCGAGGGTCCTCTCGACCTTCAGGATGTGGTCATCCTTTGCAGCTGCGGCCCACTCGACATTTTTTGCCTCTTGCTTATATCCCCAAAAACGTTCAATGATGGCTCTCACCTGCTGGCTAGCCTGGAAAAGGAGGGATGTTAGGGAATGACCAAAAGGGGGCAAGGGCTACTAGAGAAAGCGTAGACTTACCACCAGGTTATTTTGGATAGTGCTCATCAGGAGCCGATTGTCCGAGTAACCNTGGGGCAAGGGCTACTCGAGAAAGCGTAGACTTACCACCAGGTTATTTTGGATAGTGCTCATCAGGAGTCGATTGTCCGAGTAACCTTTGTACACGGCCATATCGGCGTCAAATTGAAGCGTCCCCGCTACGGCAAAGGCCACTTCAGGGGATTACAGGATGGAGTCAGCTTCTAGAACAGGTCGGTCGTTCCTAATCTCAACCCGAGCAACCTATTCGCCTGAGACAGACGGACCTAAGGCCGAGGCGTCATGTCGTTGTTTNTACGGCAAAGGCCACTTCAGGGGATTACAGGATGGAGTCAGCTTCTAGAACAGGTCGATCGTTCCTAATCTCAACCCGAGCAACCTATTCGCCTGAGACAGACGGACCTAAGGCCGAGGCGTCATGTCGTTGTTTTATGCGACACTCCTCTGATTGTTCGGCGTCCCGAGCACGCCTGTCCCTCATTCGCTCTCCCGGGGTGAGGACTTGTTGAGATTAGGGCCTTTGCCTAGTCGGCACGACAGAATCCTGGGGTTGCATACGCGGCGACGGTGGCTGCTTCCAAGGAGAACTGGGCTGGGGGATGATGGGGGCGGCGTTAGAAGGCCCGACCAGCTTGACAAGCCTAGCTCTCCTTGTCGAGGCGGCGTCCTCCATTGTAACCGCGATGATAGGTGGCGGATTAAACATTTCAGGCACGAGTGGCTCGGGAACGTGATGCTGAGACTTTTCTTCGGAACCTCCCTCGAATTCTTCCTATTCCGACGAGGAGTGATTTTCCTAGACGAAAGGGTTGAAAGGAGGTGAGATCTGCGAGAATCGACTATAGGTCGGTGTGTAGCCGAAAAGGGTATACGCCACTCGTTTAACCGGATCCGAGGACCAAACCCTTAGCAGATCAGCAAATCGGACTTGAGACCTAAGCGGTTGAGCAACGTCACAGCGATATCCTTCTGCAAAAGCAAAGCAAAAATCAGTATGTCCCTCGGGCCCAAGAATAAATAGGTTAAGAAGTCGGAAAGAAAATACACATTCATCCCTCGACACTTTGGGGCAGTACAATCCGTCATNTGTCACAGCGATATCCTTCTGCAAAAGCAAAGCAAAAATCAGTATGTCCCCCGGGCCCAAGAATAAATAGGTTAAGAAGTCGGAAAGAAAATACACATTCATCCCTCGACACTTTGGGGCAGTACAATCCGTCATACTCGGGCCCTATCCCTTTCTCCCAACTGCCGTCGAGCATGATCAGATCGTCTACATACCCTTTGTCCAAGTCAGGCATGTGGGTTACCAAGTACATTGAGGAATCTCAAGCCTGGAGGTAATATCTCCCCCCGGCGATGAGCCTTAGGTCATAGCAGAATAAAATTTCGTCTACCTCTAAGTTGGTCCCCAACCGAGTGTTTAAGGCGGCTACGCCCATCACAATCCTAAAAAAGTTTAACCCCACATTGAAGGGGAAAGAGTTTCAGCTGCATCAAGACTCCCAACAACAGGGGATGCAGAGGGAAGGTCAACCTTCCCTCCATGATGGCCTTAGTCCAGAAAGGCATCATGTCCACATTCCTCATATCCCTCCTATGGTGAGTGGGGTTGAAGGGGAAGGCAAAGATAGGCTCACGGATGTGATACCTAACCCTAAAGGCTTGGATATTCTCATCTGTCACTTGTATTTTCCTCATCTTGTGGGTAGTTCTAGCCCTAACAGACGTTTCCCCCCAGTTCTACTAGTTCTAGCCATTGGTGAGCGCTAAAAGGATAAGATACAGAGGAAATGAAGAGAGAAGAAGCTCGAGTGAAAGTACTTACAGGAAGGGGTTCTTCAGAGAGGTCTCGGAGGACGAAGGAAACTCGGAGGATAGGAGAGCACTCGGGGTCTGACTACTGGGGAGAGATTGAGGATACAAAAGTTCTGAGAAGGTAGGAAAACCTCCTATTTATACTGCCTCACACGGAGCAGGAATCGAAAAGTTGGCTCATCATTAAAGCATTTGAAAAGGGTGGCACCAGACGTGCGAGTAACTATCACTATTTATGAGGCATGATGATGAAGCCCTAGTCCCTTTACGCCACTTGTCTTGCGCTGCGAAAAGGATTGTGGCTGGGGGGCAGTTGGTGGGACTCCAGTGCGGCTCTTCGGCCCCTGGATTGACACGTGGAACAACGAAGCCGTCGGAATGACCAAAAGATGCCGAGGAGGTAAGTCGAGGTATGGTGACCCGGAGCGGTCGAGTACGACAGCTGACATCGTATTTAATGCGATGTGACCTCACATTTATGGTAAAATGAGTGATAGTGACATGACAAATAAATGCGCGACTGTCCTCTAGGAGTCTAAGCCTACTGTCATAATGACTAAACATTAATGACTGATGCACCGAGACGACGCATCAGATCTCCCGAGGAATTGTTCCGCCTAGAAGTCAATGTTTGGTCGGTGTCAGACGCCGACCTGATGGATTTGGTTGTTCGATGAGTGGCATAAGTGCTCGGCGGATGGCCGAGCTGTTATCCCATTTTCCTAGCATTCAATAGGAGGAGACTTGAATAGGAAACATTCATTGCACGAGGAATGGTATGTCAGATATGAAGATGTCCAAATGGGACTGAAGATCTTTGGTAATTATTGTTAATTCAGGTATAAATATTCCTCAGAAAAATTGACAAAGGTACGTAAACTCAAACCAGAAAAGTCCATTAAGCAAAACCCTTCGATCTTTTACTGACTTAAACTTCGGAGGAGATTAGCCGGACACAGGCCTGACCCCCTTTTTTCTAACCCTGTTGTTCCAGGTTCACCAATTGAGAGATTGTCACCTCACACGATTGCAGGAATCTTCCCGTGCAGTATTTATTCATTGAGGTAATCTAAATTAAACTTTTAACTCTCAATAACATTATTCAAATAAAAAACATAGTAGTCGTTCATTCTCTCTGGGGTTAGGGGTTATGACAGACTAAGCTCAAATAGTGTACATTTTCCAGGCTTGTCATAAACAGGGCTTACGCCAGTCATCTGGTGGCCGAGTCTAGTCATTCTTCATTCCTGTTAAAAGGAGACCTGTCTTGGCACGTCCTGCCGTGGTTATTGACATGCTTTTCAAGGTGGGGGTAGTATTCTTCATTCCTGTTAAAAGGAGACCTCTCTTGGCACGTCCTACCGTGGTTATTGACATGCTTTTCAAGGTGGGGTAGTTTTCTTGCGGTAGTAATTGCAAACAACACATCCAGGTTTTTCTTTCTTTTTTTCTGAGAAGCACAAATTACATAATTTCTTCCAATGGAGACCAAAGGAAACTCAAGTTAGTTTATAGATACCGAAACACATTTCTATAATCATATTTATCGGCTGGCAGTTAAAAAGCTAGCACACCTTGAAGAAAGTCACAAGGCCTTGGGAAGCCCCGGGGCTTTCACTATTCACACCGATGATTAAACGTAGAGGTTTATGATAGACATATATACTAACTTTAAACAAAATGAGTAACATCAACATTAAGGTGCAAAGGACACCCCTTTCTACATAACAACACCATCAAAGCTTGAGCAACCACTTGGTTGAGACTCTCTTTTAATTCTTTGACAATAAACTTGAGTCTTGCATTCTGGAAAGCGCCTTTTCGAGCTGACTCCACTTTTGCTCCAGGGTGCCACTATAGCCAATGGACATCCTCACCAATCCAGGTGAAATGCCCGCCAACTCCTTCTCTTCCGTGTTCAATTCACTGCTTGTGCTACTACCAGAGCAAGACATGAGGGTCTCATAGTACCCCAAACTAACAGCCATGAACCCGAACTGGGTGTAGTTTTGCAAGAGGTTCATGAGTCGGTTAGCCCTTTCCTCAGTTTCCATGTCCACACATAAAATTCCGCCATAACCATATTCTTTATTTGCCATCGACTTCAAAAGATCATGATCAGGGTGATCTTGAAGGCCCGGGTAGATGACTTTGAGGCCCAGTTTCTTCATCCTTGTGGCATAAACAAAAGCCCGGTTGCAATGTTCCTTCATTCTCATGCTCAAGTGAGGAATTCTTTCTGATAGTTCAAAGGCCACCTTAGCATTCATGGTTGGGCCTAATAGCATAAGAGTCCCTTGCTGAAGGTCCATCATAGAGTTCACTAGGCTCGCTGGTCCACAGACCGCACCTGTACATTGTCAAATTCAGTTCTCGTATCAAAATCACTAGTTTGGTTATTACAGCCCTGGGAATGGGGAAAAGGTGTGGTTGAAAAAACTTTATTGAAAACTAAAGTGCAAAGATAACCACAGATGAACGAAGGAGAGAAGTAGTTTGACCGTGTGCTCTATCAATAGTATATACATCTACTTGTTTTATGTCTTTTTGTTTCTTTTTAACAGCAAGGCAACAACATTGATAGACTGTAATATATGCCAGATAAAATAGAACTTACACCTACAAAAGACCAAAAGTATCAACATCCTCATCACATGGACGACAAAAAAAAAAAAAGGTAACAGTTGTGTAACAAATGCACTTGCTTTGGTATGGTAGATGCCATGCCGATGCCACACGCTACCACCTCCAACTAAAAATAAATAAATAAAAATTCAAAGAAAACAGCTACTGATACGAACTGGCACTTCCTTTCCATCCATGTGAACCCACCTGACTACTCTTTGAGAGTGAGAATCACATGAAAGCACAACAAACAAATGCAATTTGGCAGTACTTGCTACTTTCCACACAAAGTGCATACTCAAAAATTTGGACCACATCTCGACTAATCTACTTTTCTAAATAACTTTTCTGTTCCGTGATTGTTCAGTCCAATAAATTTATATTTTGAAAATAATTATATAACAGNTAACAATTTGGACCACATCTCGATTAATCTACTTTTCTAAATAACTTTTCTGCAGTCCAATAAATTTATATATTGAAAATAATTATATAACAGAGACCCAAATTTAAGGCCGAGACAAAATCACTCCTATAAACCACAAGTCTAACTCTTGATTAATTAGACACGGGGTGCTTAGTCAGCGTCCCGGAAATCCATGGCCGACACATCTGTTCGTTTCTTTTGTTGGGTAGTATATATCATTATCGTTACTGTTCATCCAATCTCCTCCTCCTATTCGAAAGAATTTTCAAAAGTTATCTTAATTTAGTGCCGAAGCACGTGTACGATGGCTAAATAACGTACCTGCAATAATGTCGGCCCCACCGCTAATATACTTGGAGATACTATGAACGACCACGTCGGCTCCGAGACGCGTCGGAGCCAGAACCATCGGAGAGAAGGTGTTGTCGACCACCACCGTCACCCCCTTGTCGTGCGCTATCCTACTCAACTCCGGAACGTTAGCCACCATCAGCGTAGGGTTTGAGACTGTCTCAAAATACAACACCTTCGTTCTTCCTTCGGCAATCGCTTCCTTCACCATGTCGTGATCGCTTATATCCACAAACGTCGTCGTAATGTTACACGCCCTCGGCAAGAAATGCGTGAGCAGCGCGTGGGTCCCACCGTACAGCGCCCGCGAAGCCACCATGTGTCCGCCGGAGCTGCAGAGCTGCAACAGCACCGATGATATGGCTGACATGCCAGAGGCCGTACAGTATGCGGCCTCTGTTCCTTCAAGAGCCGCCAGATGGCGGCTGAGATTGAGCACCGTTGGGTTGAAGTGACGGCTGTAGATGAAAAAGTCGCGGTCTGGACCCAATTCGCCGGTGAACATGCGGCGCATGGTCTCAGGCTCCATGACCGTAAACGTGGCTGAGGCCTCGATGGACATGTTGACACCGCCGTGTTCGCCAAACTCGTGGCGGGCATTGGCCAACGCCGCCGCGGGGTCCTCCCACATCGGTTTCATAGGCTTTTTAGCCACGATGAAATCTTCGCGATCAATATCATCAGAACCTGTTCGCTTCTTCCCTGAAAAGACAAGGTTATGAATACCGGTTTCCGCCATTGTAGCAAAGATAGAGAATCTTTAGGGTTTATTAGAGAAACAAAGTAAGAGTCGTATAGCGATTAGGGATGGAAAGAAGAGGGTTGGAGGGTGAGGAGGATTATAGGAGTGAGCTACCCTTATATAGCGGCAAAGGGAGGGAGCCAATATGGTGGAAAAAAATTTGGTAAGTAGTTATAATGATTTAATACTTTTTTTTTTTTTGGGTTTGTAAAGAAGAAAATTGTGGATTGATAGTGTGACTTGTGACAGAGGGATTGTGGAAAATATGGTGTTTTGGGAAGATGGTGGTGGTGGTGGTGGTGGTGGTGGTGGTGGAAATTGATAATTTGGTACAGCGAATCTGGTCAAGTTATATTGGGGAATATCCAACCTTAAAATGTGGTGGTGGTGGTGGTTTGAGCTGGTATCTTCTAGTATGTTTATCTTATCTTTTCGGCCATACATACATGTCAAGGATCCTTCTCAGAAAAGGAAAAAAAAAATGGAGGACAACAAAAAAAACAAAAAATCTATTAGATGCGGATGAGACACGTCTGTCTCGTGCATGCATTAGGTTTGGTTCTCATTCATTTTGGAGATCCAATAAAATCTTATTGAGCTATAAATAAATTTCATTTCATTAATTGTACGACGCGTTTTTCGATTATTCATTTTGGACCTCTAAAAACATAGAAGTAACATATTTGCCTTNTTCATTTTGGAGATCCAATAAAATCTTATTGAGCTATAAATAAATAAATAAATTTCATTTCATTAATTGTACGACACGTTTTTCGATTATTCATTTTGGACCTCTAAAAACATAGAAGTAACATATTTGCCTTTTTTCTAACCGGCCCCAAACTCCTGCCTCGTAACAGATTATTTTTTTAAAAGCATCCTCTTGGCGGAATCCTCCTCAATTGTGACTATAATTAGAATTAGGCATGATCATGCATGCCATTCTGAGTTTGTTCTAAGACTCATTCTCTATTAATTCACACCCATAAATATGATGCATATAATATTGGTTATGCATATTCTTACTTAAATTTCTCTCTCTTTTTTATATGTTTATTTTTTTAAATGATTAAATTATGCTTTTTAAATTTATTTATCAAATGTTGTATCTTAAATATTGTGTCAAAATGTTATACATTGAATGTTTGGTGAAATCTAATAGACTCCACCGATTCAACCACTCATACTGATTTAAGATACAAATTTTAGTATATAATACAAAATTATGAGTTCCTCGAAACACGGTACCAAATTGGCAAATAGTGAGTAGTTCCTAAATTTTGTGTTTTTTTTAACAGAAACAAACTATAACATTTCTACTTTAAAAAAAAATAGTTCCTAAACTTCAGAAGGTAAATTCATTGACCGACTATGAAAGGATGATTTTATAAGAGACTAATAATGTCAAAATGATTAAAAGATGCATTACACTTTTGTTCAAAAATTATAAATTAAGCATTAAAAATTGAATGCCCAATTTTATGCGTTAAATGTAGAATTTTTAATATAAAAATTATTCATTTTTTTAAAATAAAATTAAACATTAAATTAGATAAACAACTTGACCACAACAATAAAGGACTAATGCATTTACCCCTCATCTAATAAATGTATTTAATGGTAGGTTCCATTACAATATTAAATTTATTTTATTAATAACAACTCGTTATGTTTTAATAATATTGCTCATAATAAAGTGAGGTATAAAAGTTATTATTTGTTAAATTTTATCGTTCTCCCATCATCCCACTACCCTCGTTTTATCCTTGTTACCATTGTCACCACCACTCTATAGTTGTCACCACCACCCCCCACTTATCATAATCATTGTCATCCACGCCAATACCATCACCCACCATTCCTTCATCACCTTACCCTTCCCCACTACCAGCCCCCTCTCCCAACTATCGTCATCGCCACCACCAGAATTATTATTGGGGGGAGGGGGTAATAATTGTGAGATTGATGGTGATGATATTAATGATGGAGTTGGTAATTGTGATGGTGATGGTATTTAGTGGTAATTACAGAAAAGTAATGATAACAGTGAATAGATTCTAATGAGAAAAGTAGTGGTGATGGCGATTGATTGGTTGTGGTGAGATGACAGTGATAATAATAGTGGTACTTATGAGGTGATGATTATGTTAAAAAATTTTAAAAATAAAGCATTTAATGAGCGAGTGTTTTGCGAATCACGCATGAGTTTTGCAAATGAAAAAAAAAATGTTTTTGCACCAATCTCATATCGAAAGAATGACAAAGTTTTGTGGGCGTATAAACTATAATAAAGTACATTTAATTTAACATAAAAGCTCCAATATGCACCATGGCGAGGCGATGGGATGGACACGCAGTAGTGATATATGGACCAAGGGATTGTGGATATCCCTATGAATAGGCATAGTATTAAAATATTTTAATTAAAACAATGTTTTTATGTGAGAACTCAATTTCACATTAACANTGCATATAATATTGGTTATGCATATTCTTACTTAAATTTCTCTCTCTTTTTTATATGTTTATTTTTTTAAATGATTAAATTATGCTTTTTAAATTTATTTATCAAATGTTGTATCTTAAATATTGTGTCAAAATGTTATACATTGAATGTTTGGTGAAATCTAATAGACTCCACCGATTCAACCACTTATACTGATTTAAGATACAAATTTTGGTATATAATACAAAATTATGAGTTCCTCGAAACACGGTACCAAATTGGCAAATAGTGAGTAGTTCTTAAATTTTGTTTTTTTTTAACAGAGACAAACTATAACATTTCTACTTTAAAAAAAAATAGTTCCTAAACTTCAGAAGGTAAATTCATTGATCGACTACGAAAGGATGATTTTATAAGAGACTAATAATGTCAAAATGATTAAAAGATGCATTACACTTTTGTTCAAAAATTATAAATTAAGCATTAAAAATTGAATGCCCGGTTTTATGCGTTAAATGTAGAATTTTTAATATAAAAATTATTCATTTTTTTAAAATAAAATTAAACAATAAATTAGATAAACAACTTGACCACAACAATAAAGGACTAATGCATTTACCCCTCATCTAATAAATGTATTTAATGGTGAGTTCCATTACAATATTAAATTTATTTTATTAATAACAACTCGTTATGTTTTAATAATATTGCTCATAATAAAGTGAGGTATAAAAGTTATTATTTGTTAAATTTTATCGTTCTCCCATCATCCCACTACCCTCGTTTTATCCTTGTTACCATTGTCACCACCACTCTATAGTTGTCACCACCACCCCCCACTTATCATAATCATTGTCATCCACGCCAATACCATCACCCACCATTCCTTCATCACCTTACCCTTCCCCACTACCAGCCCCCTCTCCCAACTATCGTCATCGCCACCACCAGAATTATTATTGGGGGGAGGGGGTAATAATTGTGAGATTGATGGTGATGATATTAATGATGGAGTTGGTAATTGTGATGGTGATGGTATTTAGTGGTAATTACAGAAAAGTAATGATAACAGTGAATAGATTCTAATGAGAAAAGTAGTGGTGATGGCGATTGATTGGTTGTGGTGAGATGACAGTGATAATAATAGTGGTACTTATGAGGTGATGATTATGTTAAAAAATTTTAAAAATAAAGCATTTAATGAGCGAGTGTTTTGCGAATCACGCATGAGTTTTGCAAATGAAAAAAAAAATGTTTTTGCACCAATCTCATATCGAAAGAATGACAAAGTTTTGTGGGCGTATAAACTATAATAAAGTACATTTAATTTAACATAAAAGCTCCAATATGCACCATGGCGAGGCGATGGGATGGACACGCAGTAGTGATATATGGACCAAGGGATTGTGGATATCCCTATGAATAGGCATAGTATTAAAATATTTTAATTAAAACAATGTTTTTATGTGAGAACTCAATTTCACATTAACAAAACATCCAAAGATATTTGAGTATATATATATTAATGTTATCTAATCTTTGAATCAAAAAGAGGTCTTAAGACTCTTACATGTATAAGGGTGGGATTAACAGAGAAGATACGATAAATTTTCTTTTTTCATCTATGTATCAACTAATTCTTATATATATATATATATATATATATAAAAGAGAGTTTGAAAATCAAAAGATAAAAAAAAAAAAAATTATTTTTCGGGGTTCAAATTTATCCAAATTTTTTATGCAACGGCTGAGATTAGTTTCTGAAATTTTACTATTCCTGTCCAGCTCAACTTTTTCCGCCCATTGTGCATTGTGCACGTCAATCCAATCCCTTGATCTTGAATATTCCCTACAATTAATAAATTAATTCACCATCCATCCCAAAGAGTTCAAATCCAAGTTGAACTAGGGTGATGAAAGAGATTGGCACGACGGAGGCGTGGGTGGAATGAGTCAAACTGAAAGGGAGGGGGAGGGGGAGGGATAGACGACACTTTGATTCCAAATGAGCAGGAACTATAACAGGAATGACATGTCTCTTGGACCAAAAATAGGACACGATACAAAAATTATGATAGTTAACGTCTCTGGGACTATGCAAGAACTTGGCTGAACAAAAGGGCCACATGCACATGAATATGACATTGTACGGAAACACCGGTCTCATTCATATATGTAAATGGTCCCACCACCAAAAATAACTCAACAACCCCTCCCTCCCACCTTTGAGCTTCCTTATCCATCCACCTAATCGTTTTCCACTCATACCCTCTTGGAACTCTCTCTCTCTCTCTCTCTCTCTGTGTCTGATTTGAAGCTTATCCATTTAGATAGAACATGTGTTGGTTGCCATCCATTATCCATTATCCATTATCTAAAACATTCACATTTTAAGGAGAGGATTGAGAAAGTCTTAACGAAATGAATATGTAAATATTGTGGATGGTACGGCCTTGCATTTGTTTGTAGTAATCCAAGTGGTGTCAAGTGATATCTTTTTTTAGATCAAACGGTTAAAGATATTCAAATTAATTCATACACATATCAATTAATCTCCTCTTTAATATAGTCAAAAACAAGTCATTTATGTCAAAATTAAAATAAACATTTAAATTTATAATTTATTTTTGTTATTCCTTATTTTTTTATTGAGGGGATAACGTGGCCACTGACGGCACGCGACGCAAAAAGTGTACAACCAACGCAAGGGCCGACCCACCAAATGTAATGTAACCTAGACCCCTTATCTCCCTTACCAGACATGTTTTTGGCTTTGGCCCCGCCACTTCCAAATTGCCTTCTGTTTTTTTATTCATTTATCTTTTCCGCATGTTTTATTTAATTAATTTTTTTCCTGAGTTGGCTTCCTACTACGTCTGCGTGACCGTCCTCCTTTCTGACATCATTCGAGAGACACTCCCACGTAAATGAAAATGACTGAATCAGAGTAAACTGTCCAATTAAACACAACTTTCTTTATATCATAGTACTTATATTTTTCTAGGTACCATAGGGAAACCACCTGCCCCCATCCCATGTTGCTCAATGAACTATCAGTTGCTGACCTTTGCAAACTCTACGTATCCAAAAAATACAATATCGTACCAAAAAAATCTATAACACTCAATTTTAGTTTAATTCATTCAAAACCATTAATTATAAAAATATTAAAATAGAGTGTATATTTTAGTTTTATTCATTCATAAATCATAACCATTCAGATGTTTTCAGTCTATTTATTGAACTTTACATGATTCCCAATTTAATTGTAACCGTTTATTGAACTTTGATCGTTATAATCACATTCCAATGGTAGATGCAGCAATGTTGGTATAAATGATTTACCTTGCTAGCTATACCACCTGCAAGTTCTCTGTACAATGTTTCAGAGCCTCCACATTTTCGAGGTGTTCTAGGAAATCCATCACCACAGGATCGGTCCAAGGAGCTCCACGAGGAGCTTCAGTGCCAGCGACCCACCCTAAATGGCCACCTTGGGGTGTCACTATCAACAAACAGTTTGGATTCTCCTGAGGAAGCAGTAATATAATGGGAGTTTAGAGAAGAGCACTTTGATAATCATAACTCCATTTTGTTCGTGTGCTTCCATCTATGTGTGTGTGTGTGTGTGTGTGACCATGTATATAACAGACATCTTTTTCAGTATCAATAGAGGACAACTATAAAAATCAAGCTAGAGCCTAGTGGAAGTGATCCAAAATATAACATAGCACCGATAACCCATATCTACTCCTGCCTCTGCTTCATAAGCATATTTCTTCTAGAGCACAATGAGTAAAAATGATATCAATTGCTTATAGTAAAATAGTCAAGGACATGAATGATAGAAAGATCACCAAGTGAAAGTGACAGTAGGAGAGATGGATAGAATTCCACTCTTGAGAAGAATAGGATTTCACCACANAAAAAAGAAGCTATTTCTGTAAGACATTTAACTCGCAGAGATATTGCCTCCAAGCTCAACTGACTAGAAGCAAAGATAAAAAAACAATCTAAGTTTTACTTCTTGAAAATTTTGCACAGAGAATTTGCAAGAGCTTTGTCATAAACAATGTTAAAGCCCTTGTGGAAGTCCTCATCTGCAATGACCAAATTGAAAGGATTGCACAAGGACGCCGCACCCGAAAGAGGGCACGTATGAGATTCCTGCAACAGGAGGAATAACGAATAAAATAGAGCCTCAATTGGTCATAATTAAATGGGCAACGGATGAAAACTAAAGACAGCTTACAGAATGGCTCCTTGGCTATAACTGAACAAAAATGGTAAGAATCACCAAATAATCAAACCCAAGCTTGAAGCTCATAAATGCATCACCAAGGAAATTGATGGGTCCACAACCACTTCTTAAACCCAAAGATATTTTTGGTGTTTTAACCCAACTAAATGAATGTGTCAGCCACATTAAGTTTGGCTATTGAACATGCATTCCTCTGTCATTAATCTGCAGCTAAATGGGATTCCACTTCTTTGTAAGAAGCAACTCTTTGTAAGCCCAAAATAGGGAAGAAAAATTCATTACCTTGACCTAACACCACAAAAACGTTCTACACTAACAAACAAAGCCTAAAGAAATCTGCTCGCCTGATGAATAAAGCTTTAAAGGAGTCACAACTGAGAAAATATTAGAAACTACCCATAAAAGAGAATTTAATAAATGCAATAGTACGATAATGCATTGTGGTATTGAAGCAAAACAAATACATAATTCGATAAAAATTCAATACCTATGGTTCCCAAGTAAGGAGGCTCCATACCATATATAACTGGGTCAAGGTAACAATTCAGATACCCTCAATAAGATATTAACTTGTGGGTTCATTATACAAGAATAGAGCATGCACTCAATGCATGTTGTGAAGGGATGGGAGACAATTGATTCGAGTTAGTGTAACCAACACTACATGATTTGTCTTAGTACTACAGATCTAAGAAGCACGGACACACTGACACAAAATTTTTCAAAAAATTAGGACACGAACACTATGTGACACGTTAAACACTACGTATTTATCTAGTTATATTATATGTATGTGTGCGTGATAAAATAAATATATTTTGATAATAATCATTCAATTCATTATTTCTTTAATTCTAACAACTCAGCATCATGATATCATCAAATAAAAAAATCAATACCACATATATTGATACGCACTCATCATAAATATTCATGACCCAACAATCAATGATTACTACAATTTCCATTTTCAAAAATATTCCAAATCATAACCCTAATTTTTATCAATTTCAAAAAGCCCTAATTTCATAATTTATTTTTCATCACATTACTTTCATATAGAAAATTTATTCCATTTATATATAATTTTGTAGTTGTTTCCAAAATTATGTTATATTCATGTCTTATGTTCATGTAGTGATTATAGTTTTTTCTACATTACGCATTTGACCCATATTTCTTTAAAAAACAACAATAACTTTCTTAATTATAAAGTTGTTAGACAAATTTTTAAAAATTTGAAAAAAAAATCTCAAAAACATGTCTTTGAGCGTATCCCAATTTGCGTGTCCCCAACGTAGTCAAAATACATCCTGAAAAAAAAAATTAACAATAAAAGTTTGAACACTCATTTTAATGTGTTCGACGCATGTCCTAACGTGTTCAACGCATGTCCTAGCGTGTTCGTGTCCCATGATTGTCTGACACCAACACTCTGACTAAAATAAAGTGTTCGTACTTCTTAGCTATAGATTTGAGGGAATAGCAAAACTTGAATTTAGCAAATAAAAGGAACTGTTGAATTAGTTATTTTACCTCTCCCAAATATCGAACGAGAATATTCGCGCCAAGAGACCAGCCAACAGCATATAAATTAGCTTTTGGGTAACGATTGCCCACATGTGCCACAACTTCAACCATATCTCCTAAAAATGAAGCTGAATAGAACTGCAAAAATTAGCCAGTTATAATTCAAAACACAAATCATCAGTGGCAAAGTTTGACCATACAAGCCAGAATATTGTAGCAGCACGAAAATTCCACTAAAACAATTTCCTTATTTTCCAATGATTTTGCATTAAACCTCAATAATAGATTAAATTTAGATGGAAACACCTTAAATTGATGTTATTTTTCCTGCATAATCGTTGGTTCATTTTTATTTTTTGAACATTCAATTTTATCAATTAAAAAGTTGTGACACCTAAACAAAACAATAGAGGGTAAGTTGTCCAACAAAACATCAAACAACCAATAAGGCATTAAACAATAAATAGTGCCTAGCTAAAATTCACATAATGCTCTCCATCCTGCAAAAATAAAAAAGGGAGGAATTCTCTCAAAATCTTTAGTATTTGAAGCCCAAAGATGTTGAAAATTACACGCCGACCCATAAGCCTTCCACAACCTCACATCTATCTTCAAATATTACAATTTTTTTCTCAACCAATGAACCAAAAGACCCAAATCGTATTAGGAATTGCACAATTCAATAGAGTTCTCCCTTTACTGTGCCTCCCAAATCCCTGAAGTCTTCAACAAATATAGGATTAGAAGGGCAAAGAATTAACCAACTCAATCCTGCCAAATCAAACAACCTGTTGCACAAAGACAATGCAATAAGACATGATCCACACTCTCGCTATCCAATTGACATGTCCACAGCACTATGAAGAAGACAAGTTTGGGGTATTCTCTTTTGAAATATATCGATAATATTCAAGTTACCCTGAGCAACATAACATGCACAAATTTGTACTTTACTAACTTTAGTCTTCAAGATCATCAAAGAAAAATGATAATAGTAAACAACAACGATCATCAATCAATTACTCAAAAAACCAGTTACAAGAAAATGAAGGCATACAACCAAGAACTCATCAATCATTACCATTGATTATTTTCTTTGTACAGTCCCAGCATTGACCGAAAGCAGTCGCAAAACAAGCATTAAAACATTAGACAACCAACAAGCATGTAAACAAACTTTAACTGTATGCATTTCAAACTCAAATAAGAAAATTTTCATTTCAGACAAAATCAACCAAAATCACAAAGCGAATTACCTGCGATGTTATCACTGGGCTATCTCCACAGCCTCGGCTATTGAACACCACAGTCCGCCACCTCTTACTCCTAGCTCTGACAAGCATATGCCTCACATAAGTATCCCCACTCCCCCCAGTAAGACCTGGCTGCAAAATCAATTATAACCATTATATACACGTATCAGTGGTTATAACTAGCAATGCACCCCCAATAATAGTGACAGATTAAGAAAACCAATTGCAGAATTTATGCGTGCGTCTGTCTACCGAGAGGAAACAGAGTAGAGACTACACACACCAGCAAAATGAGGACAGGAGAGTCGGCCGGTAACAGACGGTCGTCACCAGAGACCCAATCAAGAGCAACGGCACCGTCGTCCTTGGTCCTAATACACTCACGCCGGAATCGAACGTCAGGAAGAGAGCGAAAAAACGCGGCGAAAATGGTCTCGGCATGCCGATTCCATCCAATTATGGGATATGTATTGTAGAGACGATCCAGAGTTTTGAATGCGGGGAGGAAAGAGTCCAGGGCACCTCCGATCACTTCGAGCGACGGGTGGGGGCTGACCATTGTGTCGGCTATGGCTGTGCTGACGTGGACGGCAGACTGTAGGGTCTTGGTCGAAGTGAGTGTTATTGTCGGTTGGTAAGTGTGCGGACAGGGGATGCGTCGGATGTGGTCGAAGGAAGTGAGAGGTGAGGCAGAGCCTGAGAAGACTCTTACACTCACCATTTTTTGGAGTTTGGGGATTTTGCCCAAACTCCAAACTACTACAGTGTAGGGAGACGAGTAACGTAATTGGCTAGGAAAAGTGAAATATAATATTTCACAAAAATTGCAAATTATAAGATTTTTATATAATTTTAATTCATAAATTATAAATTTTAGAGCCAATTTATCCAATAATTATTTTACAATTAGTCATTATCTGTGTCTAAAGGCATTATATAACAAACAAAAAATTACAAGCAAGCAAAAACTTTATATAACAAATAAATTATCAATGACATTAAATGAAAAAGACGAGATTAAATGACCAAGCATTTCCATTTTCTACATATTATGAAACAATACATTACTGAATAAAAAAAAACAAAAAAGACAAAAAATTGGTTGTGAATTGAGGAAGTTCCCTTTTTTGTTTTTTAGATTCTTGAGAGGAACTATAAGCAAAGAATCCAATAGCATTGGTTATAGCAACATTAATCTGTTGGATACAACATTGGTAACAGAGTTAGTTATAAGCAATTCGATTATCTTATTGCAATTAAAGTTCATTAAAAGAATTTCAAAGCAAAACAAGGTGTAAATTAAATCATACATATAGGTATTGCTACCATCTGCCCCATTGTCNTCGATTATCTTATTGCAATTAAAGTTCATTAAAAGAATTTCAAAGCAAAACAAGGTGTAAATTAAATCAAACATATAGGTATTGCTACCATCTGCCCCATTGTCACCCAATGACACTCTCACACCAAGTGGTATTACTATGATAATTGCTATCATGGAAGCAGCAAGATGAAAGCTAAATATGACATTCTATGAATATGAAAATGAAAATGAAAATGAAATTACCTAAACAGGCAAAATGGGCATTTTTTTTTCTTTAGTAACTATTATGTTGAAAGAAAATATGTGGATATAAAATCACAAAAAAGATTACCCTTCTTTTTTATTTTCCACCACCATTAAACCACACACATTCAGTGGAAAACACAAAATTCAAAAAGATCTCCATACCCTTAATCCTGTCAACAAAATGCATTAGAGTCCATAACCCACACAAAGAGTACATGATTCTCTCCTCCCTCTCCAAAACAAAAATACCTATTTACACCTGTTGACCCAAAAAAAATTAAAATGGATTGTTTTGCTTTTAAAACTGTACATCAAACACTATTATACTTGTGATTCAATAGAAATGATTAAACCATGGCAATGAAAAACAAACATAAACANCATGATTCTCTCCTCCCTCTCCAAAACAAAAATACCTATTTATACCTGTTGACCCAAAAAAAATTAAAATGGATTGTTTTGCTTTTAAAACTGTACATCAAACACTATTATACTTGTGATTCAATAGAAATGATTAAACCATGGCAATGAAAAACAAACATAAACATAGAAAAACAACCCAAAAGATATATGTTTACCAATTGGTTTTTGAGTTTGTTCTGAATTAGGCATGATCATGCATGCCATTTTTGAGTTTGTTCTAAGACTCATTCTATATTAATTGACACTCATAAATATGATACATCTAATAGATAGTATAATTGTATACTAATTATATTTTTTTTAAAAAAATTAGATTTTTAATTTTAATTTTATTTTAATAAATGACATAATAGAATATGAATTTTGATTATAAAATCCATGTTCTATTAAGAATGACTTAGACCCCTTGTTTGATNTTAAAAAAATTAGATTTTTAATTTTAATTTTATTTTAATAAATGACATAATAGAATATAAATTTTGATTATAAAATCCATGTTCTATTAAGAATGACTTAGACCCTTTATTTGATTTTTTTTTTTTAATTTATTCCAATAGATAATATAATTGTATACTAATTACGATTTTTTAAGAAAAAATTAACTTTTTATGAAAAAATTGACTTTTTATATTTGATTTTATTTCAATAAATGATACAATAGAACATGAATTTTAGTTTTAAAATTTAAAATATTCAATATTCTATTATTAGTGTTAACCAAGGTTAGGAAGTCTTCTAAGGGAGAAACATCCCGTTGAAATTAAAATTTTCACGTGTCATAGGTACTCTATTGGTGGAAATTAAAGGAAAAAGATAATGGAAGCGATTTGGATCCCAATTGTGACTATATTATTATTAGGCATGATAATGCATGCAATTCTGAGTTTATTCTAGGATTGATTCTATATTAATTGACACCCATGAATATGATGCATCGAATATTGGTTATGCATATTTTTGCTTAAATTTCTCTTTTTTTTTTTTTATAGAGCAATACTATGTATCTCAAATATGTAATCTAAATTTACATCCCCAATGAAAGGAAACCATTGNTACAATAGAACATGAATTTTAGTTTTAAAATTTAAAATATTCAATATTCTATTATTGGTGCTAACCAAGGTTAAGAAGTCTTCTAAGGGAGAAACATCCCGTTGAAATTAAAATTTTCACGTGTCATAGGTACTGTATTGGTGGAAATTAAAGGAAAAAGATAATGGAAGCGATTTGGATCCCAATTGTGACTATATTATTATTAGGCACGATAATGCATGCAATTCTGAGTTTATTCTAGGATTGATTCTATATTAATTGACACCCATGAATATGATTCATCGAATATTGGTTATGCATATTTTTGCTTAAATTTCTCTCTTTTTTTTTTTTAGAGCAATACTATGTATCTCAAATCTGTAATCTAAATTTACATCCCAAATGAAGGGAAACCATTGAATCAGTAGATTGATATACATAGTATTTTCTTTTTTTTTTTAAAGTAATACTAAATGGACTTAAAAATTAAACTTGATAATCTTAATCATTGAATAGGTAATGAATCCAAATAAATGCTGGAATTTACAGTGAAATCAATAGTTGAAATTATCAAGTCTAATTTTTAAGTTCATGTAACATTGCTCTTTTTTTTAATATGTTTATTTTTTGAAATGATAAAATTATAATTTTCAAATTTGTTTATTAAATGTTGTATCCTCAATATTATGTCAAAATCTAATGCATTGAATGTTTGGTAAAAACTAGTAAACTCTACCTATTCAACCACTCACACAAGTTTAAGATACGAAATTTGGTATATGATACAAAACTGTGAGTTCCTCGAAATACGGTACGAAAATAGTGGGTTCCTAAACTTCATTAGGTAAATTCATTGACTGACCAGTACAGGATGATTTTATAAGAGACTAATGAAGTCAAANATACGAAATTTGGTATATGATACAAAACTGTGAGTTCCTCGAAATACGGTACGAAAATAGTGGGTTCCTAAACTTCATTAGGTAAATTCATCGACTGACTAGTACATGATGATTTTATAAGAGACTAATGAAGTCAAATTGATTAAAAGATGCATTACACTTTTGTTCAAAAATTATAAATTAAGCACTAAAAATTGAATGCCCAATTTTATGCGTTAAATACAGAATTTTTAATTTAAATATTATTCATTTTTTAAAAAAATTTAAGCATTGAATTAGATAAACAACTTTACCACTACAATAAAGCACTAATGCATTTAATTGATCACCCCTCATCTAATAATTTTATTTAATGGTAGATCCAATTATAACATTAAATATATTCTACTATCATTTCATCGGTGATAATTAATTATATCTTAATAGCATTGCTCGCAATAAAATGAGGTATACAAGTAATTATTTTTTGAATTTTATTANACTAATGCATTTAATTGATCACCCCTCATCTAATAATTTTATTTAATGGTAGATCCCATTATAACATTAAATATATTCTACTATCATTTCATCGGTGATAATTAATTATATCTTAATAGCATTGCTTGCAATAAAATGAGGTATACAAATAATTATTTTTTGAATTTTACCATTTTCCCCTCATCGCACTACCATCACTTTATCCTTATTGTCACCGTCACCAACACTCCATAGTTGTTACCACCACCCCTCACTTATAGGAGTGTCTATGGGCCGAGTTATCTATGAATTCCATTTTTCGGCCCGAAAAAATAAGTCCGATAGTTGATCCGCCCGAATCAGAGCCCAATATCTTTAAAAAGAGGATTTGAGTTTGCCCCCAAACCCATTATTAGGCCCGAAAGCCTGGCCCAAGAGCCCGCCCGCAAGCCTAACCCAACCTACCATTCATTTGAAAAAAAATTATACTTTTAAATCATTAAATTTAAAATTTTAAAATAAGTCTCTAAATATCAAAATTTAAAATTTTAAAAATTTAGATATTATAAATAATTTATTATTTTTTTCCATGTATTAAGCATATAAATTTTAAATGGTAAAGTAATATAAATGACAAATAAGTTATTAGGTGTTAACCTCCTGAAGGCCGCAGTCGTCACTTTCATTTCATTCTTTATCTTCTTCTTCAATTATTTCGCTGGAATTGTTGAGCAGTTACAGTTCCTCCTTTCCTTTTTCCCCTACCATTCATCAGGCTTTCTCTGATCACATACAAATATCAAACAAGCAAACTGTCACCGANTATAAATGACAAATAAGTTATTAGGTGTTAACCTCCTGAAGGCCGCAGTCGTCACTTTCATTTCATTCTTTATCTTCTTCTTCAATTATTTCGCTGGAATTGTTGAGCAGTTACAGTTCCTCCTTTCCTTTTTCCCCTACTATTCATCAGGCTTTCTCTGATCACATACAAATATCAAACAAGCAAACTGTCACCGATGCAAATCCAGGGAATGTCAAAAGTGAAAAGGTTTGTGATCAAAGTTCCTTGTGATGGATAGTGCTTTCCAGTAAGAAGATTTTGATGTATTGTGCTTGCAAGAGACCAAACTACAGGCATGTAGTCTCTCATTTTGTTCACTAGCTGAAGAATTCACCTTGTAGTTAGTTGCTTCCATTAGGGGCATTTATGGATTCCAACAAAAGCCCGCCCGCAAAACCCGTCCAATAGTGACGGGCTGAACTGTGGGTAGCTACCCTTACCCAAAACCCAGCCCGCCATTTACCCGAATACGGGCTTAGGTCTACACTACC